GTATGTATGTAGGAGAGATGGGCTACTTAGGAGGAAATATAAGACAGGATACGGATGAGGTCAGTTTCGGCTAGTGCACAGTAAGAGATAACTAATTCTTCTGTCTGATATTTCAATCTCAAATTGCATACAGAAGATATCCAATATAAATTAATAGTCGTACATCGTGCTATATTTTACTCAGCTGCTCAAAACTAGGCGCCAAAGTTCTTTCATCGGCAGTTGGCAGTAGACCGCTCGTGCGTATCCCGCCCGCTGCTCTGCCCGCCTCTTACGAGAGGAAGAATGGCGAGCAGCCTCGCCCACGGCGGAGGCTCATCGTCTGTTTCCAGGCGCCCAGCCCCTGCCCGTGTCCCCGGGAGGACCCCAGGGCTGCCGGATTGTATTTCTCTATATGTTGATTGGACATGCATTTAAGGAGCAACTAAAGTTGTACAAGCCAGCCAAACAGCAAATTTCATATCTCTTCTACGATCAAATTATCAGGAAAATTAAATTCGAACAATCTTTTAGTACTGGAGTATAAAAAGGGGGAATATGCTGTAAATTCTGTAATCCCCCCAAAAGGTATGGACAGACGTTATGGATTTACGATCATGTCATTAATACGCCACAATGTACCTAAAACGATGAAAATGTCACTGCATGCCGAATCCGAGCGCCCTGGTGGACCCCTGCCCGTGGGGGGGGGGGGGGGCGAGCCTCAGAGGGGGAGGGGAGCGCCTCGCGCGTTGGCTACCCTGTTTGATCTGTACTTTGGTTTTATCTGCCACAAGAAACATTACTGCATAATGCTTTTAGACTCGAAGAGACCGAAGGAACACCGAAAATTAAAATGAATTGCTAATTTATTGAATTTTTAAAATGATTTCTTGAAATTGAAATCACGAAAAATGGCAGTGTATATAGTGCCGTGAATAACATTCGGAAAACATTCTGCCGTGAAGCGCTCTGATTGGCCAATGACCGTGACGTCTTGTACAGGGAGCGCCAACATACAGTTATTGTGCGCGGCATTGCTGCTAAACTGACTATTTTGCCATTTTTAATCGCAAACACTCAGTTAGCCAAACATAACCTAACTTACCGTAAAACCAAACCTATCCAAAACAAACCTAACCTAACCAACACAAACTTGACCTAACCTAACTTAAATAAAGCTAACTTAACGTAACTAACTTAAACTAAACAAACTAACTTAACCTAAATAAACCTAACTTAACCTAAACAAACCTAACTTAACCTAAAACCTAACTTAACCTAAATAAACCTAACTTAACCTAAACAAACCTACTTAACCCAAAAAACCTAACTTAACCCCAAAAAACCTAACTTCGCCACTCCGATATCGACGATTTTGGTATCGTTGGATTTCTCTCACTCTGCACATTCCAAATATGTAGGTTTTATTGCGCGGAAGCCCCCGTTAGCGAGAAACTTGGCCCCGATTGCAAGGAGGGCATGGAAGGTTCTAGAGAAAATTGAGGTTAAATAACACTAATAATATAACCCACAGTGAAAATAACCATGGTTATTCTATGACTTTCCATTGCAGGGGGCTGTGCCCCCTGCAACCCCCCTGGGGAGGGGCTACCGCCCCCTAACCCCCTCGAGGAAACAAAACCTCCACCACGTATTCCCTGCAGGCTAGAGCGTTACACAATTCTCGTCGATCGCGGAGCGGCGGACGTATTTACCACGTAACATTCCCACTGAATTAGCATACTAACCTTGACATAGTCACATATCAGGATGAACGGAGTATACCATGAACAGAAGAGCGCCCTCATCGGCGGGTTTTGCGCCTCGATGTTACGCCGATGGCCTCAAGGTCGAGTTTCCCATCCCCTGGAACCACGATTTTCGAAATTCTAACCGAAATAACCGTCGCATTCAGTACTTCGCCATGGCCGCCGCGATGACAGTGTGTGAAGGGTGCTCCTACTCCGAGATAGATTTTTGCGCGAGGTAGCAACAAGCCAGGATGAGATGCTTGAAATGTGCTTCTGCACTACTTCCTGTGTGCTGCAGCGTCGCTGTATCCTCCGGCCTAGGACCTCCTGCCGGACGCACCCCGCCTCCTTCAATTTCTGCGTGAAGGGAGCACCCTCTCTACTATCGGCGGCATTTATCAATCAGGTTATTGTAGGTTATCGGCTCCGCGTCTAGTTCGTGTGCGCTCTATCCTGCCGTGAATACGTGGAGATTTTGTTTCCTCGGCGGGGTTGGGGGCGGCAGCCCCCCCTAGGGGGTCGCAGGGGCGCAGCCCCAATGGAAAGTCATGTGAATAACCATGGATATTTTCACTGTGGGTTATATTATTAGGGTAATTTTCTATATTACGTCCGCCGCTCCGACATCGTCGCCCCCGATATAGTGCCCAAGTTTGCCGCTAAAAGGGGTTTTCTATTATTTGGATTGTACAGAGTGAGAGGAATCCAACGATACCAAAATCGTCAAAATTACTATATTACGTCCACTGCTCCGAGCGCCGCTCCGACATCGTCGCCCCCAATATAGTGCCCAAGTTTGCGTAACTGGGGGTTTCCGCAATAAAACCTACATATTTGGATTGTGCAGAGTGAGAGGAATCCAACGATACCAAAATCGTCGATATCGGTGTGGCGAAGGTAATATAGAAAATTACCCTAACTTAACCTAAACAAAGCTAACTTAACGTAAAACCTAACCTAAATAAAGCTAATTTAACGTAAAACCTAACCTAAACAAAGCTAACTTAATGTAAAACCTAACCTAAACAAAGCTAACTGAACGTAGAACCTAACGTAACCTAACCAAAGCAAACCTATTACTGGAAAAAGGCGTCACCAAAGAATCGATGGAAACTAACCTTACAGCCTTGAAGATAATTATTGATCACTTTTCATTAAATAAACTTGCCTTGCAAATGAATCATAACGAAGTTATTAAGTTAAATAACTAAAAAAAAAAAAAAAAAAAAAAAAAAAACTATTAGAAGCTATGAAATTCAAATTTCAAATTAGTCTCGCTATGGTTTGCATATGTGTAGGATGTCGTATGAAACCATACCAAGTTATGAAAAATTATTTTAAAGATGGAGCTTAACATGAAGTGCTCAGGGACCAGCCGTCGCGACGGCGCGTCGCCTGATGCCGAGTAAGTCCGACGCTCTCTCCTGCCGTAAATACGTGGAGGATTCTTTGTCTTTCTGGGCGGGGATTGGGGGGCGGGAGCCCACCATGGGGGGGTGTCAGGGGAATCCATGTCGAATCATCCGTGGCCGAATCTTTTCTCGGATTCCTACATTTTTCACTTCCTTTATCATCTGAAATGCTATCCTTGGATCGGATTTTTATTTCCCACATTCATTTGCTTTTTAAAATGCATGGTATGAATGGCGGAATCGGGGACTTAGTCTCTGACAGGTGCAGTCCTGTCGTTTATAGGCACAATAAAATCACAGAATAGGGATGAAAATCACAGAGATGTCAAACTGTAGTAAACTTAGCATGTATGTCCACTCGGTCTTAAGAATTATTTAAAAAATTGATGATGTGCGCCCCTGCCGGAAAAAATAGGTCTTTAGTGCAGGTTTCCGTCAAAAAAACGCCGGAAAAATATCCCAGCAGTCTCGATCCGACCATATTGCATGAAATGACAGACAGAATTATTGACAGTGCGCAAATGCGAGTGTATTGCCTGACGAATAGCCAAAATGTTATAAAATCCGGTGCCAGAACAATATTCACGGTGTTTTTTCTTGATTTACCCAAACCTAACCTAACCTAAACAAACCTAGGTAATTCTAAGTAAGACATCCGCGCCTATTTGTTACTTTTTTTTTTTTTTTTTTCTCATACCCCTTCAATCTTGGAGGACTCGTGGAGGATTGGGGATTGGTGGAGCACACGCAGAAGAAATAGTGGGATTAAAAAGTGAAGATTAAAAAAAAAAAAAAAAAAAAATGCAATATCTGAGAGTCTGGGGGCGGTATCAGTGCTGCCGAAATCCCGACGAAATTTAACCTAACCTAACCCAGACCGCTTCCCTGGGTTATTTCCTTACCCCTTTCCTGGGGGTATTTCGCCATACAAACGAAGCATACCTTCCTAACCCCATACCAGGGGACAACCCCCGTACCCCCTTCCCTGGAGCTAGTTCCCTACCTGGGCAAGCCCCGGGACCCCCTCTCCTAGGGGTATTTCGCCATACTTTTCAGAAAGCTCTCAGTATTTCGAGACGCTTCGTGACACTGAGGTTTGTGGACTCTTAGAAAGGCAACCTTTGAATTTGAATTAAAGCACACCCTGTGAGAGCCCAGCGGTTTTATTAACTTATCCGACATGTACGAACACTAGTCAGTAATTCTATTATACTTTCCTCGGTATATGTAGTGCGGCTGCCTTAATTAGTATTGCCCAGTCCTAACTACCTAACCAAAACAAACCTAACTTAACCTAAACAAACCTAACTTAAACTAAAACCTAACATAACCTAAAGAAACCTGACCTAACCTAAACAAACCTAACTTAACCTAAAACCTAACCTAACCTAAACAAACTTACCTAACCAAAACAAACTTAACCAAACCTAAACAAACTTAACCAAACCTAAACAAACGTAACCAAACCTAAACACACCTAACCAAACCTAAACACACCTAAACTAACCTAAACACACCTAAACTAACCTAAACACACCTAACCTAACCTAAAAAACCTTACCTAACCTAAACAAACCTACCTAATCTAACCTACACAAACCTAGCCGAACCTAAACAAACCTATTCTAACCTAAACAGACCAAACCTAACCTAACCGAAACAAAAATTGATATTGTGCTCCAACTCCAAACGTTTTATGGCTGCTTCAAGCTCAAGAAAGGCCAAAAAATGTAGCCAATTTTCAATAATGCTGTTGTCTCCATAATTCCAGGATCCAAACTGTTCGTGCTCCTTGTTACTGCCAATCACAGCGAGCCTGATGAGACTTACTAGCCAATCAGAGCTCAGGTGAAGG